CGCCCGCCAGTCGCGGACCTACCTGTCAGAGAGGCCGCCGCGCTCCCCGCGCGCAGGTCGTAGAGGACGACGACCCCGTCGGCGCCGGCGGCCAGCAGCAGCCCGGGCTTGGCGCGGTGGAACCCGAGCGCGGTGACGGCCTGCCGCGGACGGCGTCCCGGTCGCAGGCAGGGTCCCGGCTCGCCCGTCCCGGCGTCCACCAGCTGCGGGGAGAGCGGCGTCAGCTCGGGCGGCGGCGGCCCTCACTCTGGGCGCCCGCCGCCCAGCCCCGATACCTGCACGGCGCCGTCGCCGAAGCCGGCGGCCAGCTGCGCGCTGCTGGCTCCGAAGCACAGGCTGTAGACGCCGTGCGCCTCCCTGCCCAGCGGCACCCTGCGAGCCACCGCCGCCGCCATGCTCCCGGCCGGGCGTCCAGCGGTCGCCCCGGCAACGGCCGCTCCTTTGGCCCCGCGGGACCAGCCGCACGCGGAGCGCTGCCTGCCGGGATGCCCCTCCTGCGGCCTGCAGAAGGTTGTGAGGCTGGTCCCCCACGCTCCCTTTCCTCCTCAGCCTTGCAAAGAGCCACCAACTTTCTCGCCTCTCTCCGTCTCCACCCTCCCCAGATCCACCCCTATTTTACAGTGTTGTATTTATAACCAGGCGTGCATTAATTGGGGGGGGGGGAGATGCTGTTAAGCCTTTAATGCATTCCTTCTTGCAGGGGAGGGCTGTGAGTTCTGCAGAATGAGGAGCTGAAATCTGGGGAGACACTTGTGGGGAATTCGGGGGTGGGGGTAGGAAGCTGGTTTGATCGAGAGCTCTTCCTTACCCACCCACCCAAAATTACTTCCGAGAAATCTACAGTGCTGCATGGGACGGCTTCATCAAATCCATAATAGAGAGCGGGAGATTAATATGTTTTTTTAAAGGGGGGGTGGGTTCCCAGGGAAAATTCAGCACGGAGTCTTGTCACTCGCCCGATCCTATATAAACCCCCCCCCTCTCTATATTCCATCGCAGGCTGGTAAACGACTCCTCCGGGGTTGTGTGGGTTGCGTGTGTCCCTTTCCAACAACTCATAGCCTCCCCCCCCCCACATTTCCCAAAGCGGCAACTGCCGCCACCACATTGGGGTCCCTTGGGTGACATCAGTATCTGTGGGATGGATGGTGAACTGCTCAAAAGTCTTAAGAAAATATTCACAGCAAGCTGAAGTCATCCTGGGTGGCATCAGGGAGAAAATTCAATCGGGGATTTCTGGCCCAGTAAACCAACTAGTTTTTATTCACTGACCGTATCTCAGAAAG